AAGCCTCTCCTACCAGAAGAAAAGACTTTGTCATGCCCACTTAGGTCCTACAGCTGTGTCCTACAGAAGAGGAGGAACTAAAGTCATCCTGTGCCAAAGTAAAAAGCATCATGTCCCCTAGAGCATTGTGATGCTAAGGAAGTCATATTTGGCCCCAGTAAAATATTTTAACTGCAGTAGACAGACACCACAATTGTAGCTATATTTGAAATAAAGATTTGCAGGGAGAAAAAGAAAAATCTTGAAAATCCTTACCTTCTTCCATGCCTTTGCTATAGATTCATGCAAACTATAAGGCATTAACACCTGCAGGCCTTCACAGGTACCATATATTTGGCGACACACAGAAATTAAGGCTCCTGTAACTGCGGGCAACATTTCTGATCCAGAAAAAATAGAAATATCTTCATCAAGAAGCTTTTTTGAAAACTGAGCGATTGTATGAGCACCTGTCAAACTAAAAGATGATACCGAAAGGTGAGTCCCAGGTTATAAATCATGACTTTATAAGGTCCTACCAAAATGGCTAGCCTGATCATAAACTCATTTGTTTGGCTTGCTATAGTCCTCCACTAGCTTTTCTGACATGTCAACATGTTTGTTCTCATCCACATGCAGATGTCTAATAATGAGAGCATTTTCAGTAGAATAGAGGAAATAATATAAAGATAGAAAGAACAACAAAACTCATACACTTTAAAGGTTATAGACACAATGGTTCCAGGGCCATATGTCAGTTTGCTTGATTCTACAGTGAAAACATAACCCTGAGTTCTCCGTTCCTAGTACTTACACATTCCCCAGTCTATTAACAGGGCTTAGTTCCCCTATCTTAGAATATGTGCATAATAGTTTCAAAATATACTAAATGAAGTTCAAGATTACTCTGAGGATTTCTTTTTTGACCTTGGAATATATCCTGCTAGAAATGTTCAATAGAATTTGGTCACTTGAAGTAATTCTTTTCACTGCATATATATATGTCACTAACTTGATTGTTTAGTAGATAAGTTCACTGATTTCCATGTGTTGGAATTTTTTTTTAATTCAACTTTTTATTTTTTATTTAATTTTTACATATACTATTTAAAATAGCTACATGATCCCAAAGTCAAATCTAGGTTACAAATCTAAGTTTCAATCAAGGTATAACCCCAGATGTTCTACATCAATAACTCCCTATCCACATGTTTTTCTCCCTTCCTCTAAAACTATTTTCATTGCATTTCAGTTTATCCTTTCATCATTCCCTGTTGAAGAAAATAAACATGATTTTATTTACTGATATTCGTATATATTATACAAAAGGTAGCATTCTATAAACATTCTTTTGTGTTTCGTTTTTCACTTAATATATCCTGCTAATAACTCCACAGCAGGACATAAAATATTCCATATTCCCTTTGTACAGCTATTAGGTGCTCCTTTGTGTGAGCATAATCGAATCAGCTAGCCTCTTGTCATTGGACATTTGGGATAATACCAGTTTTCTGCTAACAAAAATAATTAGAAACTCTTAACCACTGAGCAATGTGGATTCAGAAGAAATTCTTTCTGACATTTTTATATCTTATCTGTTTAACATCAACATGAAGGAGACCTTAAAAAAAAAAAACCACCTAGAAATCATAAAGACAATGATTGGGAAAAGCTTAACTACACGCAATTAAATTATATCTATCTAGCAGATAAAACTTTAAAAAGGGAAGTGATGGAACATTAGAACTCATAACAAGGGCTAGACTTCCCAATTTTTAAAAAGAGGTAGTATATATGAATAATAAGAAAAGGACATCCAGTTAAAAATGGCAGATTGAACACATACATTCATATCTGCTCTCTCTTGAAATGCTAAAACGCAAAAGTAAAAGGAATTTTCAGAAGACTTCTATAGCAGTCAAGGATAAGGAGAAATGATGTGGCAGTATCAAAATTTTGGAACTTAGAAAGCAGAAACAATAAGTAAATCAGGACCTGGAAAAACTAAATCATCAGCCACCATTTAGAAAACAGAATCAACATGATTTATTTCACAGGAGCTCTCAAAAAACTCAAACTGGTGGCACCAAATGTCTCTGAAATTGGGGATGGAAGTGAAGATGAAACAGAAGTGAAACAGTGAAACAGAAGAGCTGTCTGAAAGTTGATTTAAGAAAGAGTCTGACCTCCAGATTCCATCCCACATCCCACATAGTCATCTAAGTGTACCTCTCGGAAGGTAGACGGGGATTAAATAGAGTATAGAGTACCACGGCAGGAAATCAAAGTTGATACACTGAAGATGAGACCCATCACCTTTCCTACCCAGTCGTCTTCTCCCGCTAGGCTTATACTCTCTTCAGGCAGCTAACCCAAGGAGCCTTTTCTATGGAATCTGACCAGAAAAAAGAAAAAACTGAAGCCACTGAGATTAGAGGTTTCCCAAACAATACTATGGAAACGTTCCCTACGGCAAAAGCCACAAGTGACAAGCCTCACTTTTCTGTACAGTTTTCAAGAAGCTTCTTACTGACTTTTAAATATATGAAGAACTCCTTAACTTAAAAGTTAGAGACCAAAACAACAAACAGAAAAATCAATTTGGAAGGAAAAAAAAAAGAGAGAAATGTGAAAGAACTTACACTCACGAAACCAGATGCTAAAGTAAAAAAAGTACTCTTCCTTAAACAAATACCTGAAGATATGAAAATCTCAATTTCAACAGAAGGGCTGGAAAATAAATTTGAAGAAATTTCCTGGTAAGTGTATAAAAAGAAAAGAAAAGAAAAAAAGAGGTACAGAAAACAGAACAGGTAAGGAAATCCAAATAACAGGAGTTTAAGAAAACATACACACACAAGAAATGAAAGTAATAATCCAACTATTTTCAGTAAAATGAAAGACATAAATTTTCAGATTAAAAATGTCCATCAAGTAGATAAAAGCAGAACATCAAGAAACATCACCATAAAATTTCAGAACAGTAATAACTAAGAGAAAACTGAAAAGCTTCCAGAGAGAGGGGGGAAAAAAGATAAAAGCCACGCTGTAATGATGATCAAGGTTCTTACTGGGATAAAGGCTATGCAGCAGATCAAGGCAGCAACCAGTCCTAAATACAGTAGGTCAGAGGCTCAAAAAGGAAGGAAGGAAGGAAGGCAGGGACGGAGGGAGGGAGGAAAGTAGGGAGGAGTCTTTAATAAATTTAAATTGACAGAATTTGTCTAGTATTTAAATATACTGAGAGATGATTTAATTAATTAGGGAAGACCATATGGATGATTTAGCAAGGAAAGTTAAATACATTGAAAATTATCCCAACAAACAAAAGAAAAAAATTATTAACATCAGAAGAAAAAAAAGTTATGAAAGAAAAGAAAAGAAATCACATGGCTGGGCTCATAAGGTGGATACAGTATGACTGTAACTATACTGCAGTGATTGGTGGGGCCAGGGGAGACCAGGCATGTGTATATGGAAGGCTGGGGGCATAAGGAAAGATAAATCATTGTATTAAATCAAGAGATAATGCCTTAAACTGAAATCAAGAAGTATTATAAGCATATTATTA